GAACAGAGAAGAGATACATGGATAACAAAGGAAAAGACTAGATATATCACCAAGAAAGAAATAAGAAAAGAGATGAAAAAATAAAATAAAAAATGAAAGATAGATGGCGAGTTGTATCAGTGCGACATCACTGTAACATACTCCCCTATTGAAAAAAAAATGTGTCCAATCAGACATTTTTTGGGTAATAATAATAAACATAACGATAACTAGTGAAACGATAACCACATGGAAGAAAGAAAGTAACCAAAATAACAAAATAAACAAAAACAAAAAAAAAAAATTTTACAAATATGAAGAACTTTATTATATTTTTATAGAGTAAGTGGACAAATAATAAACGTATATAAGTTCAAATATAATAAAAAAAATAACAAAAGAAAATATCATGACTTGGTTCACAAAAAATAATAGTATATAGTAACAAAAAAAATGACTAGTTTGATAGTTATCATCACAACAGAAGAAAAAAAAATAATGTAATGGATGATGAGTCATTGCATGAGTATATTATGTTGTTTGTTGTTTAGTATCAGTACGTGTTCATATATACAAGAAATAACAAGTTCAAAAAATAAATCAAGTAGATCGATAAGTCAATAGAATATAATTTAATCCAAATTTAAATTCATGTAAACAATTGTAAATAATGGACGATGGATGTCATATTAATTGGTTAATAAATTTTTTGATCAATAAAGTTGATTAACAGTTATAATAAATAATTATTTACGTAAATATCGTTTATGATGATGATGATAATGATGTTGACGATCATTTGAATTAATTCGATGTTAGTCACCGTAAAGTCGATGATAATGTTCAGTTGAAAAAAGGTTTTTTGTTTTTTGTTTGTATTTAGATATTAGATTAGGATCTTTGACACCGATATATAATGACGTTTTATTTGTTACAGATGATGTTGATTTATTAAGAGCACAGAATTTAATTGAACGTTCACGAAGAATTTTTTAAATATTTGTTATTGTAAATCTATCATCGATATTTCTTTTAATAATTTCATATTGGTATAATCGTTTCCTTTGTTTTAATGTACAGTTTCTGTTGTGAATTTTCTTTTTTTCTTCTTGAGATAATTGTTTACGTTCAGGTTCATTTGTTGATGGATTAATTGAAGATAAAGATGTTTCTTGATTGAGTTACTCTCGACTCGTCCCCAACTCGTCCCCAATTCGTCCCCTCCACATTAATTGACTCTCAACTCGTCCCCCACAAAATTCGTACCCCATTAATTGATTCTCAATTCGTCCCCCAATCCAATGGCTACTAATTGGTGACTAATTTGATAAACAGACGATTTTCAACAATCAGCTGTTTTATTCAAGAGTAACAAAAAAACAAGAAAAAAAACAAAAGAAACAAAAATTATTTGGCAAGTTTTGTCTTCAAAGCGCGTCCGCATTTGATCGCGAGTTGCATATCAGTGATCAATCCGCCCTTATGGTCGTTCAGAAGGAGCTCGAGATTCTCGTCAATAGCGTTGTTCACCTTCTTTCGTTTGCGCAATTGAACTCGCGACTCTTCGGATTTGTGATGCTGGTATTCGTGCTCCTCGCGCAATAATTCGATAAAATTGAAGATGTGCGGATGCACAGGGAACTGACATTTGAGTCGTTGAGTGAGGCCCTCAACGTGGTTATTCGTGCGTGGTAGTTTGCTGACCAACAACTCGTGAACATTCCATATCTCTGCGTGATAGCGTGCAGAGCTGCTGTCAACGTACGTAGAAACGATGTAATCGTTGAATTTGGTTGCAGATACGTGCTCGGGAGTATATTCATCCATAACTTCGGTCCACGTACGTTCAATCAGTTCAGGAGGAATCAAGGCAAGACCAATAGCAGCGAGAAACCAGTGATCCGCGCGTTTCTTCTCCTCCGGTGAAATGTCAGTGTTCTCCTCGTCTGTAGAAGGCGAAAGATGACGAATGAGACCGAGTTCTTGGATTTTTCTCCAAAGACTCTGTGCATAATGAAAAAGGCAGCCGGTGACAGATGCTGTAGGAAAGAGACGACAGAAAGAGTTCATAGTTGCGATCTCAAAGTCAATCGTGAGTCGCCGTGGCTGGGGATTGAGATCGAGCTTTCGAGCAAGCGAGATCACGTGGTCGAAGATCTTCGTGTAAACTTGCTCATCTTTCTTCGTCGTAAGACAGTACACACACGGGATCATGAAGCCGTTCGAGAAGCCACACAAAATGTAGACTTGGGCAAAAATGAGAGGGCGAATTCTGAATGTGCCATCTGAGTGCCATTGCTCGCACTCAGAAAGAAAGATGAGGCTCCAGTCTGATGCAAACATCAACAGCCGATCTTCTCCATACAGCTCGTCTACGATCAGGAACGGTTCTCCATGCTTGGCAAGTCGCCAAACGTCTGGAAGAACGAGATCGACCAGTGACTTCGGCAATGATGGATAATTCTTCGATCGACTTCGATACAGTGAAGCATCAACATTCTCAAATGTAGGAAAGAATAGACCAGTCGCTAGACCGGGATGACTGATGCGAACTTTAACGATTTCTTGTGTATAGATTTTTGGAATCGGCGTAGTCTCCTCTCGTGCACGTTTTTTCATATTACCAACTGCTTTGTCGACTAGAGATTTGCCGGCAGAAGCTGATTGTTGACAAGTATGCGTAGAGGGCTCGCGAAGAACTTTTGCATCGATTGTGCAAAGAGAAAGCGTGCTAGCACAGCCACGATCTCGACAACGCCACTCGTTGCTCGTCTTTCGTGCACGCTTCTTTGTGTATTGATGAGAATTGTAATTGAGTATAGGTTGACCACGCTCCGAAGATGTGAATAGCAGCATTTCTTAGAGCAGAGAGAATGTCAGTAATGAATGTAATACACTACTAAGAAAACACATCATATATATATATATATATATACAGAGTGGACTAGGCAGCAATCAATTTTCTGATTGATGACTATTATTCGTGTATTTGTTTCTCATTGTTTCTAAACAAGGACGGACTAATTGAGGGGACGAATTGAGAGTCAATCAACTATGAACGAATTTTGTTGGGGACGAATTGAGAGTCAATTAAGGGGGGACCAGTTGGGATAATTGGCAAGGGGGACCAGTCGAGAGGACCCCTTCTTGATTATTTGCTTGATCATCATCGGATGTTAATTGAAGTTCATAATTTGTTGATGTAGTTGGTGGATTAATTGATGAAATAGTATTATCTTGATCTTGGTCGTTGATAATATTTGTACTAATAATTAATTGATATATAGCATCACAATCATTTGCTGCATAATTACATAATGATTGTCGATATTCCATTTGTTTATCATTTAAATGTTGTAAATGTGGATCAAGTCCGATATCAAATGGTTGACGTGTAAGTCGTTTATCAATCCATCGATGCAATTCAAAAGCGACAGCATCTTGTAAAGCTAATAAATTGTCGTGTGAAATACCAAAACAGGTTTTGCATTTACACGTTGACGTACCATTTGATGATGACGTTGGTTGATGAGGATAATTAGCAGACCAATATTTTTTAAATTCCTTTTGTAAATGAATATTTCTAGATAAGTAAATTTGATTTGATGTAAATAATTGATATCTAGTAAATTTAATTAATTCATCGATCTCTCCCCAAATGTATATTTTTTTATCAGGTTGAAATAATAAATCAAATAAAATCTTAATTAATGTAAATTGTGGTTGATCAGGAGAGGGTAAATGACATACTTCCACAATTAACATAATTGAAGAATATTCAGATTGTATTATTTGAAGTTGTATAAGACTTGGTTTATTTGGTTGATGTGGAATGGGAGTAGATTCGGTATCGAGAGTAAATAATTTTGAATTAGTAATAATATTGTTTCTTTTCATTAATGTACGTTTTGTTGTTGTAGGATTTATAAAGACTAATTCATACGGAGATGGTTCGAATGGTGGATAACTCGATGCATATTCATGTTCCTTTAATTTTTTTTGAAGTGTTCGTTGGAAATTTTGTTTTTGTTGATGATTAAATGAATCAGGTATATTTTTTAATTGTCAACAAATTTTTTCATATTCTCGGTTTGACAACATGACTATAATAAAAAGAATATATCATAATAAATGTTGATTCTCAAAATAGGGAATCTATGAATTGTTATAATCGATTCTTATGAGGAATAGGAATCTATAGTCTATCATATGGATCAAGAAAAAAAATTTTTTTTGTAAAGCGAGGACGAGAAGAAATGTTTCAAATTCATTCTTCTTGTATATATGTCATGATATTATGGTACGAAATAGTTAGTTCTTTTCAATTCTCAATGGCCAGGTGAGAATCTAGTAAGAATAGATTGAATATTAATTGTATCCAATAATTAAATTTCGTATAATAGAATAATGAATTATTAATAAATAGGTATCAAATTAAATATAATAGCCCTTCACAATCAGTGAGTGGGAGAAGGTCACACTCCCAGACTATGCTATGCTAAATTAAATCTAATTAAATTTGTCGATTAATAAATAATTATTCCATTTAATTTGACATATTGATATTACGAATCTCTTTGGTAGAAGTCCTGTAATTAATAAATTCGTTCAAATATTGGTAATAACATGTCGTTTGTAACTTGACGATATAATGTTGGTTTTTTGACGTGTTGAACAATAAATGTTTTGGGTGTAATTGTTTGAATGATCCTATATGGTCCCTCATTACGAATATCAAATTTATAACGGATGTTGAGTGTTTTCACAAGAACTAAATCACCAATATTGTATGATGGATTAGAACGATTTATATCGTATCGTTGTTTATATCGTTGTTGATTTTTTATGATATTGAGTTTAGCTGGTTCATTTAATTTTGATAAAAATTGTTGACGCTTTTTTACATGTTCAGAATCATATGATAAGGTAACATTTGTATCTTGATGATCGAATGGTAGAACAGGTGATCGACCGTACATCATTTCGAATGGTATTTGTTTTGTTGAGGGATGAATTGAAGTATTGTAATTAAATGTAACGAATGGTAATTGATCATCCCAATCGGTTTTACGTAAATTTGATAAAGCTGCAATTTTTGCATCCATAGTTGAATTATATCTTTCAACTTGACCGTTAGTTTGAGGATGATATGGTGTGGAATATAAATGTGTTGATCCGATTTGTTTAATTAATTCATTCATTATAGATGCTGTAAAATGAGTTCCGTTATCAGTAAGAATACGTCGAGGTGTACCAAATTTTGCAATAATATCTTCTTTAAGAAATCTAACAACTGTTTGTGCAGTGTTATCCAGTACAGCTTTGATAACTACGAATTTTGATAGAACATCGGTGAGACATATAATATATTTGTTTCCACGTTGAAATGTTGGAGTAATAGGTCCATGAAAATCCATTGATACTAATTGCCATACTCCTTCTGGAGGTTTAATAGGTCTTAAAGTACCAGGATTTCTTTGTCGACGAGGATTGAATTGTGCACATGGAATACATGATTTAATATAATTATTAATATCTTCGTACATTGATGGCCAAAAATAACGTTGTTTAATTTTATGTATTTTTTTATCTCTTCCGAAATGAGCACCATTTGCTGCAGTATCATGATAAATTTGTAAAATTGTTTTTCGGAAATCACCTTGTGGTACGTAAGGAACTGGAGTCTTTGATCGACGCATTAAAAGATTATCTTTGATCATATAATTTTTATATTTCTTGATGTTGTTTATAATATTTTTTGCGTAATTATCATTTTGTTGAGCTTGAATTAATTCGTCAATGGAAAATGGAGTTGTGCGATTCTCTTCAATAGAAGTATTCAGAGAATCTGATGGTAATTTTGTTGTATTTGAAATGTCATTTAAAGCTTTGTTTCGTAATTTCATAGCACGAGTTTCAACAGCTGCGACAATAGATGAATGATTATTAACATTTGAAATATCGGTTTGTGCTGATTTTGAAATAAGATGCGTAATTTCATCAGGATCTTCTTCAGCATCTTCAACTGGAGACCTTGATAAATAATCAGGCATTGAATTTGTTAAACCAGGAATGTATTTCACCTTGAAATCATATTCTAAAATTTTTAATCTCCATCTTTCACATCGTTTATTAACTTGTGCTTTTTTATTTAATTGTGTTAATGCTTTATGATCAGTTTCCCAAATAAATGTAATTCCACTTAAATAATTGTTCCATTTATCTAATGTACATATAAATGCATAACATTCTTGTTCCATAGGAGACCATTTGCGTTGTGCTTGTGTAAATTTCTTTGAAAGATATGCAATCGGTCTATCACCATCTGGATAAATTTGTAATAGCACCGCACCGATTCCCTCATCAGATGCATCAGTTTGAACTTTGAAGGGGAATCTGTTATTTGTAAGTCGTAATACCAGATCAGTTGTAAGGAAATTTTTAAGTTGTTCGAAGGCTCTAATTTCTTCATGTGTTAATGTAATGATAGTTTTTTGTCCTTTCTTTCGTTGAGTTCTTGTAGTTGGAACGAATTTTCTAAGTGGTTCGGCGATTTGAGAAAAATTAGGTATGAATTTTCTATAATATTCTGCTGCTTTAACAAATTTGCAAGCTTCATCTGCAGTTTGTGGTAATCTCGTATTTAATAAACCATTAATGTTGTGAGGACTTGGACGAATTTCACCATTTTTAATATTATGTCCAAGATAATCTGTTTCAGTTCGAGCAATTTCACATTTCTCTGGATTAAGACGAAATCGAGCATTTTTTAATATTGTACATATTTCATTAAGATGTAGTAGATGTTCTTCAAATGTCTTGGAATATATAATTACATCATCAATATATGCTAATGCATATTTCCATCTTGTAGGACCTAATATATGGTTAATAACACGTTGAAATGTTGCTGGACCATTTGTTATTCCTTGTGGAAGAACTGTAAATTGATAATGATTATCACGAGTTGAGAATGCAGTTTTAGGTCGGTCCTCTTTAGATAGAGGAACCTGGAAATAACCAGATTTAAAATCGAATTTTGTATAATATGTTGCATCAGATAATTGATCAAAAATTTCATCAATACGAGGTAATGGAAATGCATCTTTAATTGTAATAGCATTTAATCGACGGTAATCGATACAGAATCGCATAATTTTGTCTTTCTTCTTAACAAGAACGATCGGTGATGACCATGGAGAGGTTGATTCTTCAATTTGACCACGTTCTAATAATTTTTGTGTTTCTTGAAATTTAATTTCTTGATCTTTATATGAAGCTGGATATTGTTTTGAATAGATAGGTGGATGATCACCAGTTTTAATTGCAGATTGTGGAGGTATATTTATTATTGATGGTGTAGGATCAAATAATATTTTATTTCGCCATAAAATATCTTGAATTGCTAATCGATGTTTTGGATTTTCGATATGAGCAGTCGATTCGATTATTTGTTGTCGAATCTGTTCGGAATAACATTGTGCTCGTAGATGTTTTTGTAAATCATTTCCAGATAAAAAATGTTCATTGCAATGATGACAAATAATATGTAATTTTTCTTGATTCGAGTTGTCCTTTTTACGTAAGATAGCTCTGGATTTCAATTTATTGTAATGTCGAGTTGATGTTTGATGACGTTCATTTAAAATAGAATTATGTTTTGTTGAAATTTGTGTAGTTGCATATATAGTATATGTTGCATCACGGGAGATGGTTCCGATTCGTGTGTTCTTTGATAATGTTTGTTGTCGATTTTGTGCATTTATAAGTAACACTTTGGCGTGATTTTTATTAATATTTAATAATGTATGTGGTACGAAAATAAATTTTGATATATGACGTTCATAAGGTTCAAATATAAGATTATTAGCATTAGTAACTTGACATGTAATATCAACTAATTTTTGTGAATATGGAGGAAGAGTAATTTCATGGACTAATAATGCTGGATAATTAATAGATGTGGGTTCCACGTATGGAATGGAAATTGATTGACCGTATTGATCAGGAATAGTTAATTGTTGCTGGTCACCATAAAGGTGAACATGATTCGAATTTATCCAATCATTACCTAAAAGAATTGATGTAATTAAATTTGTAGCAACATGTGCAGTAACATAAGTTTTGATAGATTTAATTTGAATTTCTAATTCAATTTGTCCGATAATTTTGAGAGGAGTTGAATTTGCTGTTTGACATGTATGATTTTTATAAATAAAATTTTTGTGATGAATAGTTTTAAGAAAATTTGAATGAATAATTGAGATGGCGGATCCTGTATCAACAATTGCTTCCGTTGGTTGATCATTAACACGAATTTTGATGTAAACTGGAAATGATGTTATTGTTGATGGCTTTAAAAATTTACTGGGAACACCGCCATCATGTGACTCAGTTATTGAAAATTTGGAGGTAGTGTACAATCACGGACATTGTGATTTTCACCACAATTAAAACATCCAGTTGTACGTTTATAATAACAATCAATTGTCCGATGATTCTTGCGACCACAAACTTTACAGTTGTTGAATTGATGTTGTGATGTTGGTTGACTATTGTTTGTTTTCTTCTTTGATATCGATGGTGGTGGATAATTTCGAATTTGTTTTCTATTAGATGCCATGGATGTTCGATTTCCAAGTGTTGGAATCGAGTTCCGCTGAGAAACGGGGCTCTGTGATTGTGTTGAATGTGAAATGGGATTGTTGTATTTTATTTTATAATGATATTGTTTTTGTGGATTGACTGTGGCCGTTAATGATGGAATTGATGAATGATTACAATTAAAATGATGTTGTTGTGAATCAATTGATAGATTACGAAATGTATCATGTAAATCTTGTTCAATTTTTGCGTATTTTAAAAATTCATTTAATGTATTAATGGATGATGCACGC